TCAGTGTATTTTGTTAAATTTATCTCACAAGTAGTTAATGCGTTTGATATGCATTTTAAATATTTTATTTCCATTTGTTCATTGTAGAAATAAACATAAATCAATTTTTATCATTTGAGCTTGTAGCCAGCTGAAGACACTTCTGTGCATTCTAGAAGCTTCTGTGCATTCCTGCCAATTTTTCTATGTACTTACTTATTCATATGAGAATAAAGACAATTGTACATCTTCCTTTCTATTATTTTCATTTCTTTTTCTGACCTTATTTTACTGGCTGAGATCACCAGTACAATATTGAATGAAAGCAGTAAGAGTGGTCATTCTTGCCCTGTTTCTAATTTTAGATGGAAAGCATTCACTTTACTATTGAGTATCATTTTAGCTGGAGGCTTTCTGCAGATATGTCTTATCAGAACAAGAATATTCACTTATATTCTTAAATTGCTTGAAAATTATCCTAAATGGGTGTTGAATCATTTCAAATGCTTTTTTCTATATACTTAATGTATTCTTTTTGTTCCTCTACTTAATCTGTTAATATGGTGAATTATATTATTTGATTTTTACATATAAAGCCAAACTTGTGTTCCATGGATAAACAGCCAAATGCTCTACAGTATTATATTTTTTATATATACTGGCATTGATTTTATGATATTTGTTAAGGACTTCTGCATCCATGTTCACAAGGGATATTGCATTTATAGATTTTATTTTTTTATAATGTGTGATCACACTCCTTTGGGCATATCAGGCCTGATTTCCTGGATGAGTCTGTGTGAAACCATTGCTCAAGGCCTGCTCCTCAGCTTTACTAGTTTAGAACCTCAATTTTAGCAGTTCTGGACAAGAAAGACAAGGTTGAGGGGCTTAAGTCAAGCTATTGCCATTCACTGATAGAGTGCAAATTTATGAAATACCAGGGAGAAATGGTAGCAGGCATTGTTGATTGCTTCCCAAATCCTTTCCACCTCTTTCTTTTGCTCTGATAGATTGTGTGGCTTTGTGACCTGGGGAGCTCATCTGCTCTCCACTGGGTTTGGGCCTGTCTACTTCAAGCCAAATATGCCAGAAGCTCCTTGAAACCATATTGAAGAGCCTTGGTTCACAAACTGAAGATGCAGAGTCAAAAGATGGAAAGCCCCGAGTTCTTGAAGACTCGGAAACACTCACTTTACCAACCTCTGTTGCTTGTGAGATAATTCCTTAATTAGTTAAGCCATTCTTAGTTGCATTTTCTGTGTGTGTTTTTTTAAATTAAAAAATAGCTTAATCATTACAAAATATTAAAAAGATAGACATGAATTCTGTAATCTAGTCACAGATATCAAAACAATAAAGTTTTTCTCATTCAAGACCTGCCTATTATCATGGAAGGATTAACAACCTTGTTGCCCAAACAGTGGAGTCCCACCCCAGCCTGCAGAGCCCACTTCCTCGTGCCTGTGATCCCTACTTCCCCGTGTAATCCTTGTCCTCACCGCTTGTCCCACTCCATATAAGCAGCTGGCTTATGGGAAACTGCAGAGCAGATTTTTGTGGATGATCTGCTGCTCTCCCATACTGCCGGCAGTATTGGAATAAACACTCATATATGATTCAAAAAAAATTACTTTTGAACTATTTAAGAGATAGGAAGAGGAATGTGTTTAATGGAACTTCCATCAAACTGTGTGAGTTGGATAAATTGTCCTTTTGCATTCCAGGAGTATTGAGGAAGTGGAAATGATAATCAAGAATCTAAACATCCTGCCAAGTGGACAGACAATCCAAGGGACATGCTGACAAATTTTCCATCACATTTTAAAATTTCATGCTGATCACATGTCTCCTTATATTTGTCACTGCAAAATCAGTGACCTCATTTCCAAAACCCCTTCAGGACATGTAATAATTTCTATGATTTCAAATGATCTAGCATTAGATATATTTTAGCCTGGTAGCACTCATTCAAGGGGCTCGTTAATTACACCTGGAGAGGCTGGGACCTGGCAGAGAAGGCGAGCTGAGTCGAAGCCAAGAAACCACTGAGAGGAGCTTTTGGGGGGCAGAGAAAGTGTGAAAGGGAAGTTGGGAATTAATTATTCTTCACAAGAAACAGGGACAAGGGGAAGAAGTTTGGACCGTGGATTGCTGCAGCCTCCTAACTAAAATCTGTTTCCACTTTTGTCCTCCTGTGGTCTAGTCAACACAGCAGACAGATCCTGTTAAGCCAGAGTCAGGTTCTGACACTCTCAATGGCTTCCCACCTCAGAATAAAAGTGGAATTCCTTACAGCGAGCAAAGGCCATGCAGGATCTGGCCTGTTACTTCCCTGGCCCGGGACGCCTATCTCCCTGCACTGAGTTCCTGCCGTAGTGACCTCCTGACTGGTCTTCTAACACATGGGCAAGATCTGACCTCAGGGCCTTCGCTTTTGTGGATCCCTTTGTCTGGAGATTATGTTCCCAAATATTTACTTAGCCAGCTCCCTGAACTCTCTTTTCTTTAAAAAAATATGCTTTTATTGATCTTGTTAGATTTTTTTTAGAGAGAGATTGGAAGGGAGAAGGAGAAACAGAAACATAGATCAGCTGCCTCCTGCACGCCCCCTACTGGGAATTGAGCCCAACCCTGGCATGGGCATTGACTGGGAAGAACTGGCGACTTTGGGGTGCATGGGACAATACTCAACCGACTGAGCTACACAGGCTTTTATCTCATCTAAATTCAGTCACTCAAAAGCTTAAGTACTCAGTGAATGTTGGCTAAATGAATGAAATTACTTGGAATCTTAAATCTACAGACCCATGACTATGCCTTAGGATGAAGTTTGGATTTGAAGTTGAACTTTTCAGAGTGCATTAGAAAACATCTTCTACTTAAACTTTGCTGTGCATGCTGGGTTGAGGTAAATTATGACTAATTTCAACCTCATAGATTTTGATTTCTTAAAAAAAAAAAACCACTCACACAAATCTCTCTTTAACCTTCCTTTATATTTTTTAAAATGCAATGGTTAATAATGCTAGTCAGGGCTTTACAATCTCAACTCTATTAACATTTCAGGCCAAATAATGATTTGTGTTTTTTTGTTGGGGGAGGAGGAAAGGACCTGTCCTTTACATTTAGGATGTTTAGTGGCATCCCTGGCCTCTAGCCACTAGATGCCAGTAGGGGGAGAGGGAGGGAGAGATAGAAACATCAATGATGGGAGAGAATCATTGATTAGCTGCCTCCTGCACAGCCCCCACTGGGGAAGGAGTCTGCAACCAGGGCATATGCCCTGATGGAGGATCGAACTGGTAACCTCTTGGGTTCCTGGGTCGATGTTCAATCGCTGAGCCCAGCTGGGCAATGGTTATATTTTTGATAGCACATGTAATGGAGTGGAAATCATGGGAATCTCATGCTTACTTTATCGACCTGATAGATAAGCACCATAATAACTAGTAGCAACATGTCACATTTGTAGACATTTTAAGTTTAGGAAGAAATAGAGAATGGATAACCCCTTGTTTAACGTCCTTTAACCTTTATCTCTATGGATTGATGGTGAATATTGGGAAGTCTCAGTAAAGGGCCTGGGAAAAATAATTTAAAAAAATGATAATGTGCATTCCTCCACAATTTATACAAGTACGATCAGATGAAAACAAACATTACTTTGCTTCATTGGATAAATAAAATTACAAAAGAGAAACAGGCAACCTGAAGTCTGTGTGTAGAACTTAGTTTCTTATTCATTTATTTCATCTGAGGATGTTAGTTCCTTATTCATTTATTTCATTCGAGGATGGTATGTGTATGGAGAGTCTAGTTATGGGGGTAGACTGGAGGTGTGTAAGTCAATTTCTTTTGAAAAATAAAACAAAACAAAAAAGATGGATGGATTGACTTAAAGCCCTACTTGTAGAGACAGGTCTTTGTTCCCACCTGGCACCTCCTCAGAGCCATTTGTCCACCATTGCAGTCAATATAAGAGTCCAGAGTCCCTAAGAAGTACTTGCTACAAATCAATTTCTATTTTTTTGGATTTAGGTATAGTTCTAAGTAAATGTAAATTTTAAGAATTATAGAAGGCACTTAATAGATGTTTTTCAAGTTGAATCGAAGGAATGTAACCTCGGATCTTTGGGAACTGGAAGTATATTCTGCAGTCACTTTGGGGTGGACACCATCAAATGATACGCTGAAAGAGAGTAAATGGAGCAAGATGATGAAGAAGAAAGAACTGAGAAGTGGCGGAGCATCTCAAAATGAAGTTTTTAGAAGGTCTGGGGTAAACTTGCTTTTATACGTGATCATTTTACACGATATTTTGATCTCATCTAAATCATAAATATCCATCTGTGTTATTCAAACAGTCTTAGAGCTATTACCTTAGCATCTTTCATTTGAACAAAATGGAAATTCCAGAAAGCCATGAAGCCCAGCCTCTGAGTGTTACCTACATTGATTAATCCCCTAAATTCTTGGGTGTCAAAGACATGTCGCTAAACAGGTCACTAAAGGAACCCAGGAAGCCAAAAAAAGGAAAGAGCCCCTAAAGGAAAAATGACATTTAATTGGGAACTCTCAGACATCTGTCACTCTTGGTGACAAGCGCAAAAAAGCACTTGCACATTTTAAGAAGCACAGGTGGTATGACTGACAGTGAAGTTAACCAGCGCTGTGTGTAGGCAGGACCTTGCGGGGTGGGGGGTGGAGTGGGGGGTGGGGGGCGAGGGGGGGACGAGTGGGGGAGGATGGAGAGGCTGGTTTTGAAGACTGTGCTTTTTCATTCTGATTATCATTATAAAAAACAAGAACTGGGGCCCAAACTGTAACCTAAACTGCCATGGATGCTCCATGTAAGATGTCCTACTTGATGAACTAACAGGTCGTGGGGAAAGTTGGGAAAAGAAACACGGTGTGGGTCTCTCCGTTAAAACACAACCCTGCTCCACCTCTGGCCTCCGGGTTCAAATGGGTGTGCGAGCTCCCGCGGGGCGGGCCTGCCCCCCGAGAATCCCGCTTTTAATAAGCTTCCCAATCAGCTCGCCGGGGGAAGAGCGCTCCCTCCCTCGCCGGCCGGCGCCCTCCCTGCCCGCGCGCAGCTCCCCCATCCTCCCCTTCCCTTCCGTCCCCTCCCTGTCGGGGCGGAATCGAGTCCAAGGCAGGATCAGGTTCCCCGCCTTCCAGTCCGAAAATCCCGCCAAGGGAGCCGCCGAGCCGAGGAAGCCCGAGGTGAAGCCAGCGGGAGAAAGAGACCAGCGAGCCGGTCCCCGCCAGCAGGGAGGGAGCAGCCCGCGCCGCCCGCAGCAGCCACCGGGTACCTGGACCGCGAGCAGCAAACCTCGCCCCTTTCAACAAAGGCAGCCCGAGCGCAGACAGCGCGTTTACAACTCAAAGTAAGTGAAGGGGGCGCGCCATTCTCCCAGCTGTCTCCCATCGAGTTTCCTGCGCCTTCGGCCACTTCCCGGGGCGCCAGCAGCTGATGGAGGAAAGAGTGGGAGAGAGGCTGCCTCGGTGGCTTTCGGGTTGGGGGGGTGAAGGGGGGGGGAGCACTTTCGAAATGGATTTGCTCCAGAGGCAAACTGAGGCGTATTTGGGGGGCATCGGGTCAGGAGAGTCAGGGGGCCCCGAGATGAGTGGAAGGCGAGCAGCTTCTTGATGTCATGCCTGAATTCCGACCGCTCCAGTGGGAGGACATGGCCGGGGCTCTCTCTGCTCTTGTAAACCTGCCTGTAGGTGTGTCTGCGGCTGCGGAGGGCAGAGAAAGTGAGGCACCTGAGCAAGCAGCCTCCTCCCCATCCTTCTCGGGGCGCCCCGGCTCGCCCGCTGCTGCTGACTCTCGGCGGGCATTTCTCGATCCCTCGCGGGGGCTGGTTCCTCCCTGTGCCCGCTGCACCCAGCATCTCTCACAGCATCCAGCACTCCTCCTCCTGCCCGCCGCGCAGGGGATGGTTCTGGAAAGGGTTAAGTGCAAAGTTTAAAAGACACACCTTTCACCCCATCTCTCGTCGGAATACTAGGTTTTATTTATTACCAATGTGTCGGATTCTCAGTTTCAGAGCTGATGTTTCTAATAAGTTAACAAAGTAATTGAAAGCAATGAATGTATGTATCTCCTTCTCTACTTTACACACCAAACAAAACACTTCACACACACACAGACACACACACACACACACACACACACACACACCCCTTTGTCCTAACACACAGACATACAAACTCAGGAACACACCCTGAGTTCATCTACACTCTATTGTTAACTTACACATATCTCTGTTAGCACAGCTTTGCAAATTTGGGAACATATTGAAAAAAAAGGAGTGGCCTGCAGGGGGAGGAATGATGGTGAGATAGGAGAATGGCCATGTGAGGGACAGCAAAGTCCCGGGCTTTGAGAATCTTTTATCTTAGTAGGCATTTTGTGTGCACCTCTGTGAAATAGCCCATTGGCTGCTAATGTGCCTTCTTAACCTCCGTGTGTGTGTGTGTGTGTGTGTGTGTGTGTGTGTGTGTGTGTGTGTGTGTGTTGGAGGGAAGGGCCTGGGAGGAGATTCAGGAACTACCAAGAAGAGCTTTTGAACTAATAACATCCTGAAGCAATTCCATGACCCCAGGCAAATGTGGAATTGATGAAGCAGAGGAGCCCCTTTGAGCTCCTTGATCATCTGGGGATGAACTGATATGTGGAAATACCACAAAGTAATGGGAGTGTCTCCCAGCACAGAAAATCAAGCTTGTGTTTTCCAGCTCCATTATGCTTCCTTTTCAGTAAATTATGCATTTTAAAGACAAAATCATTAAAAAACACACACACGTTTTTAATCCAGTTGCATTCAAAGGGAAGCAGAGTGGATGTTCTCTCTTTGCCCCTTTTTAGGAAATGAGTTATTTCAGAGTGGTGATATTTGTCCTTTTTCATTTAAAGTGGAGGATGAGATTTTTTAATTATTTTATTTAAAAATAAACGAATGTCTTTATTCCATGCTTTAAGAAAGGGGTGCTTTGAGTTCTCTAATTGCATTTTAAAACTTTAGAAAGTGATCTTTGCTCGCCTGCTGGTCCCAGTTCCCCTTTAGAACATTTTTCTCCTCACTCAGTGAAACTCCTCTGTAAGGACCGCCAACCTGAAGTCATATATATCTCACTAGGTGCTGTACTCTAGCCGTTCACTTGTGGACACAGTCACATTATATTTTCAAAGCTACAGCTGTGAGAGAAATGAAACTGCTGTTAATAAATAACTTTTTATTACCTACCTTTTAAATGAGGTGTTATACAGAATAAAATAACATATTTAATAGTATATATAGTATAACATGTATTATATAATAATGTATAACTCTATAATTTCCCAGACCTCTTTCCATGACATTTGGAATAATATATTTACTCATTTATTGAAAGTTTCCATGTACCTTATTTGGTCTTTATAAAGAGCTCTATGTTGCAGTTTTCACATTTTTATTTAATGGGCTTTTAAAAAAATCTTTATTGTTGAAGATATTAACATATGATCCCCTTCTTCCCCCATAGACCTCTTCTAGCCCCCTACCTCCCATCCCAGGCCATCACCACCCTATTGTCTGTGTCCATGGGTTATGCATATATGCATACAAGTTCTTTGGTTGATCTCTTCCCATCCACCCACCCTCCCCTGCCTTCCCCCTGAGATTCCACAGTCTGTTCCATGCTTCTATATCTCTGGATGTATTTTGTTCACCAGTTTATTTTGTTCTTTAGATTCCACATATGAGTGAGATCATGTGATGCTTGTATTTCTCTGACTGGGTTATTTCGCTTAGCATAATGCCCCCCCCTTTTTTAACTCTAGTAAAGTTAATGGCCTGGTTTGAATTTTCACAAAACCTGATTATTGGCAATAACCCAAGAGAAATAAGGTCCCCAAATAGTTTAATTGCTCTTATCAATAAAATCAATTTTAGAAATTAAATATTTTAAGTTTCAATGGTTTTTTTTTCTCTTTGAATAAATCTCATTTAAATGAATCTTGCTTTCTCATTTAAATGAATCTCATATGCATTCAGAACATAGTCCTATTCGCCATGTGGTGTTTTTGCTACTCTTCAAAAATTGTCTCTGGAGACTGAGTTTCCTTGGCTTATTCAAAATGGTGTCTGTAGTAAGGCAACAGTAGATTGAGGGCCAGAAGTCAGAATTCAGAATATAAAATCTAGTTCTCCCAACACTTATGCTTTTTATATGATAACATCGTGATGAAGAGAGTTGTTCTTGACTTCTCTCCTGAAGGTAATGTCCAAACTGAGACCACCCAGTGAGCAAACATGGTTCAACAGGTGCTGCGTGCACTTCCATCCACTTCAAGATGTGGTCCTCTCTGGAGCATCAGCAAAGTCCGGGCTCTCTGAGCGCCTGCACTTCATTGCTTGGATGCTGAGTCTCCCCTGGCTGCTGTTCTAATGAACAGTCAGAAGAATTCTGCCTGCTCTTGGCACAAGGCCATGCCATTGCCCTGGGGGAGAATAATATTCCGATATGGCCCCTCTCTTTCTGAGCTGGACCTGCTTTTTTTCCATCCACTGTCAACTGGCTGCAGTAGAATGTGGGCCATGGCCTCCCTTTGGAAAGTTGTTCTCCATTTTTGATGTCTCTGGCCAATTCTCGTTTCCATCCACGAGGTTGTTTTTCCTCACGTTTCATGCCAGGCTTGTATGTGGCATAGTTTTCCAGGTGTCATACGATCTTTCTAGATTGTCAAATATAACAAGCCTTTTGTTCCTCCCTATTTTAGCATTTGGTAAATGAGAAGTTGAAATTTCTGTGGTTTCAAAGGGCAGCTATAATGTAACATTATCAGAGGGCACTGTAATTATGATAATATTATGGACTGATTATGGAGATCACATTCACCACAAATCCCTATTTCTTAAGGGTAGGCAAGGGCTTGCTTGAATTGTATGAGAAATAAAACTTAATTTCTTCTACTGGGCTTTATTTTGGAGCCATTTCTTCACAGTGGGTTTAGATAAAGTGACATTTCACATAGAAAGAGATCATCATAATGAGTTTCTTAAAAGCAAAATCCTTAGATTCTTAAATTTCATACTTAGTAAAAAAAAATCCCCCTGTATTTTGGTCTTGAAGAAGTGAGTCATAGCAACTGACACTTGAGCTCTTAATTCTAAGAATTGCACTTAGTGAAACCCAAAACATCGTTTTAAAACACAAATAGCAGGCTGTATGGATCTCAACATGTTGTGCCCACTTCTTCCAACTCTTATGCTTACCTGTTACCCCCCTCCTGGCTCTCATTTCTCCTTTTTCTGATCCAGTTGCCATTATTTCCCATCCAACAAGCCCCACGATGACTTGCCTACTTCCTTTCCCATGATGGCATCTCTTCATTTATGTACACATATATCAGGGGTGGTTGCCCATATCTTAGAATGCATGGAAGGTTGAAACTTGCTCGCTAGATTGAAATCAAGGTTGGACCTTGACTTCATCGATTTTTGTCCGTATTGACGCAGACCCTGGCTAAGATCAGCTTGTACTTTCAACACTATAATAAATATTGACTGTATTCTCTTCTCTGCTTCTCAACTGCAGCGAAGGGGTGGAACCAGAATTGCTCACCCCCATTACACTCTCCCAGATCCTACCTCAACCATACAATGTTTCTTGCTACAATGGTAGACCAGTTTAATAATAAACAATATTTATTACACAGGTGCAGGATGTCTTATATTGTGCTGGGCATGTGGTATTTTTAGGAAATACTTAAGTCCCAGTTTCTTTTCTCTAGGGCTCACAGTTTTACAATTCTAAACACTTTGTGTTTGGTAAATGGTGCTAACTTGTGAAATCCTTTATTGGAACTTTACTTAAAAGACATCTCAAACAAAGAAAATCCATCACACCCCTACCCACCTCTGAAAGAAACACTTTAAAAGTCACATACATTTTACCAAACCAATGGCTTTTTGCATTTCTTTCTTTCCCTTGTCATATAGCCCATTGGCTGCTAATGTGCCTTCTTAACCTCCTTGACATATTATTTTTATCTTAGTTTTTTTCCAACTTTGTTGGCCATTCCTCTCATCTTTATGTTTTCCTTTCCCACCACTTCAACTTCCAAATATGGACATTTATTTCCAAATATTTTTGTTTTCTCCCTCTCTCTCCCCCTTTCCTTTCCCCTTCCTTCTCTTCCTCCTCTCCCCCCGCCCCCCACTGCCCCCTCAATGCTTCATTGTTGATCAGGACTCTTCTCTGAGTTTCCAGATCTTGCCATTCTCTTATTAGTTTTGGGTCTCACATTTTTCATTATTTTTTGAATGAATACTGAAGGGAACGCTTTGAGCACAGTCCTATTTGGGGAAGGAGATTGCAATAAAAGATCTCTTGTTATTTT